CGAGAGAACCTTGAGTTCTGGGCATGTTGTATCACAAGATAATTAGTGTGCGGACTATTTTCATTTATATGGTGCTCTGGGAACACAAATTAGATAGCATAAATCAGTTAAATGACGAAAAATTATGTCTATTTATTTGTCACCACTCAGTGTATATGTGAATGTGGCTGTAGCAAACGTTAAAGAAGTGTTGTAAGCTATATTCTTTATTATGATGTGATTTATTTGTTTGCGAGAAAGAACTGCTTATAATGATGATGTAAAGATCGAAGTACTTTGTGAATTATCTAAAAATAAGGATACAGATGTAAATTAGAGTAGAGAGACTTGTTCAATATTAGTGAAGGAGTTAATGAATATGAATTCTGAAAAGCAGAGGTGACATTCTGCCGGTACTCTACTAAGTATTTGAACTTATTTGAGCTACTTTGTCGTTTTTATGTTTACACGTAGGTTATTCTCTTTTTCCAAAACAGGTCCACTTCATCCAGTTGAGTACCGCTCCTTTAGAAAAATTTGTGACAAAAACGACGTAAACTGCATATGTCCCCCCCTCACCAGACTCATGTTAATTTGTCCATTGCAAAATTAGAAATCAAATGTGTGTAAAAATAGCATTTGACAGTCATCTTTTGTCTCCCACAAGTCACTGCCAAAGGAGGCCTTTCGTCTAATACCAAAACTCGTCAGTTAGTCTTCACGATGAGAGACAAAAGGTCATCTGAAACGCCATTTATATATGTAATATAGCACTTTAAAAGTTACAACTTAAATGTCAGTAGCTGGCGAAGCATAAGAAATAAAGAGGCGTACATTTTGTGACAAAAATCACGTTAATATCACTAATATGATTTTTGTCATAAAATTCAGGCGTATTTGTTTCTGATGCTCTGCCAGCTGTCGGCATTTAAACCGTAAAATGTGATAATGGTAAAATTGTTATTTAAAAAATTAAATTAAATATCTAGAATATATTCAACAGATGGCACTACTATTTCTTCGGTGTACAGTACAGTATGAATGACCCGCGAGATTTTACCGTGCTCACCAGAGTCGTAAATAAAGGCTGGCATTGATGGTTCTGCAACCGTTGGTTCTCATCTGTTTTTTATGATTTTGTAATTTGACATCCAGAGGCATTTTCTCATAAAAGTCTTTTCATTTTATATTATAACACTGCTATATTCTTTTTAAGGTAATTTACATATATATCATAGTCACCAAATGTGTTATTTCTAGATAAGTTTACCTGTAGTTTAATTATTATTTTCATAGTACTTTTATTTATCTTTTTTTTTTGGGGGGGGGGGGGCTTGGAATATTTAAAACACTTGCGTCTGCCGATTTATATAAAAAAATACAAATTAACTAGATATTTCATAATTTGTTCAAATAAATTTTACCTGACAAAGTCGTACAATTATGTAACTTAATAAATTAGATTACAATCTGAAAGTAATAACCGTAACTTTACAAATACTTAGTAGTTATTCAAATATATTTTAACTCCAAAAGTTTACATCATACTGGATTATGAGCTTTTGTTAGCTATTAATATATTTTTATCTCCGAAGTAATTTGAATACGACTTTGTATCATTTAAGCATCTTGTATTATTCAGTGATATTGTTATATTTAACTAAAAATTATGATTTTCTCTCATTTGATATTAAACTTTCATCACACTTTACCATAGATACTTTGTTATATATACAAGTATAATTATGCTACGACCATTTTGGGATATATGCAATAGTAAGTCAACATTAGTAGTGTTTGTTATAAACAAATCGTAATAAATAAATTAAACTGAACAATGGAATACCATGTGATTTAAAATTTTGAAAAACAATAACGATTTGTTGTTTTTTCTAATCTGAAATCAATACCTCATGTTTGTTTTATCACGTATCTTGTCGTGACCTTTGACCCTTATTATCTTTAGCTCATTTCCAAAGAACGCTGAAGGACATGTGACGTCACATGTAAAAGAGGAGGAAGACAGAAGTCTGAGAAAATGGCGTTTTGTTGGAGTGTGAGTGATCGGACGTAACGAAGTGGGGGAACACTTTAGTTTGTCATTGATGAGAAACGTACTTTATGGATTATCACTGTTCGAAGTTAAGTGATATAATGGCAGCAAATATGTATAGAGTTGGAGGTAAGCTCTCAGTTTGGTTGATAGTTTTTGTTATTTGTTTAAACACAACACGTTAACTTCGAAAGACAAGCCACCGGCCGATGGCCGAACTGGGGTTTATGCTTTAGGCCTATCAGTATCATTGTATCAAACCTTTCGGCGCAAGCTGATAGTAATTACGTTCCACAATTATAAAAGCTATAACATTCGTACTAAAGATCCAATTTCTAAAATTCTTTGAAATATTTGTTTATATTATACTCTGGTATGAACGATTTCTCATCTTTTATATATTATAATTTATACTATAAATAAAATATCTGAATTTTTATATCTAATGTTTGTTATTAATATTATGTTAATCTACTATTTTACTTGTAAGTTAATTTACATTTTAGCTTCTCGATTGTGAAGAATGTGATGCTGTGTCATACTCAAACTACTACTTGGCTATACTTTTATTGTTATGATTAGTAGTAGTAGTAATACGACTACAGGCATTACTATGAGTATTAGTAATTACATCGTGAAGTGGTTTGGAAACAGCAGCAAGCAAGGTGTGAGGCAAAAAATGAAAAATATATGAACGTTTCAATTGTATTCATAACAGGGGTAACTTCTAAGTTCTATTCAGTATTCAGAGTATGGATAACTAAGTTACATGATGTATGAAATTAGTAAGTGAACAAAGTTTCCAGTTGCGTACATTAGATTAATTTAAATTTTTATACATATTAAGCCAGGAAATGTGGCATTTGTTTTCACAGATTATGTCTATTTTGAAACCTCATCCACTGCACCTTATCAAATTCGACGAATTGAAGAACTTACTAAGGTAAGTTGTTATAAGCTTATTATAATTTGCATTGAAGTTATCATTATAATATCGTTTGATATATATATAAGCTTTAAGAATGTTTTGAGACTGAGTAATCTTATCCATAAAATATGTTTACGTAATACTTCATGCCAGATAATGCTACATTTCTTCTGTTATATATTTCGTCGTCAAAGGACAGTCTACCGCTACGGTCATGATGTGAATTTACGCGGCGTGAGAAAAAGATCCTAACTGGGACAATTAAACTTTGTTTTTTGAAACTACAGAATTAGCAAACACAATTAGGCTTAAGTCAAGTTTTTAAACTTGAAATTCTTTATATTCTAATAAAGTTGCTGTTAAAACATTATTTTTAGGTATATAAACTATTATAATATTTTATGTATATAAATGTATTTATATATAATAATTTAAATACATAAGACATGAGTTATATTTCATTAATTCATTCATAATTATTCTTCATAGACTCCTAATGGGAATGTGGAAGCCAAAGTGACCTGTTTTTATAGAAGGAAAGATATCTCTAGTTCTTTGGTCTTGATGGCTGATAAGCATCAAAGTAAGTTACAAGTAAATTGAGTTTTATAGTGTTATAAGAATGCTTAAACAGTAAAGGGTCTTATAAAATAAGTGAACTGAGAATCAGCATTATGATAAATCTGAAGAATTGACAAAATTATTAATGTTTTACTCTGACTTCTTTAACCCATGTTTTGCATGGCCACACCCTTTATTCTAATACAAAAAAATATTGACTATAAAAGCTAGTAATAAGTGTTGTTTTGAGTACATATATTACAATACTTTGAATGGTAAAAAAGGGGTCAGTCTGTGTTAGTAAGTGTGATGCTGAAGAATTTATCAAATTTATATTTGGACAAGATTGTGATTAGCTTTCATAATTTTAGTCTGATAAAATAATTGCTCCTGAAATAATTTAACTAGAATAACAAAGAAAAAAAGCTGAAGACAGTATATGACAAACCCCAAAATTAGACCCACATAGATCTAATCATAGGCTTCAACTGAGTAACCAAACCATTGATATGTTTAATGGTCTACATATATACTTGATTATACAGAAATACATGTTTAGATTGGAAAAAAATGTTAATACGTTAAAAATGAAGATTTTTCTGAATTAAATGATACTCTTTTCTTTTAAATTATAGAATATGTTTTCTTTGTATATTCTTACTATCAAAATAGAAGTACAGTCCTTTTATTATTGTTGTGTGTAATTTTGTAAATTCAAAGTGATTGGGGGGGGGGGTGTGATAAACGTTCAGGAGTATTTCATGCTTTTTATTCAAGTTCCAGTATATTTTGGTTTAACATTGCAGTTATATTAATGTCATTTTTATTATAAAATTAAAAAAAATTGTATTCTAATGTTTAGCTTGGCAGTGTTTTTTAATATTCTTAATCAAATTTGTTAGAACTCTAGTCAGGATTCTTGTAATTGGTGTCAACAGTTTTAGTACCTACTACAGGCCTTTAAAGTACAATTTGTGACAGTTTATGTTAACATGGTCGCTCTTATTCTCTGTTCTTCTTGCATAACTAATAGTTGTTTATTTATGGTATGTTTTAACCATTATGAAGTTTATAATGTTAAATTAAGAAACGTGCATGTGGAACCTTAAAATTGATAATTAAAACTAAAGAATATGTATTTCTTTTTCATAATATTGATAAAGAATGTTTAATGTGCAAAGCCTACCAGGACGATTGTAAATACTGCAAGCTGTTTTGTGTGTTGTATGTTTGTCGCAAAGTAATTTTATAAACACTTCAAACATTAATTTTAGTGAAGTTTAAGGTTATACTTGTTTACATATTTTAAGTCGGAAACTTAAGCTTATATCTAAGTTTAGACTTAAAACTCGCAAATATCTTGGTGTTGTTTCTTCTATGTAGCTAACTGGGTAAACACTTCATGCCGGTGTGTTAATTTATGGGTGCTTGTTCCTATATTAAAATAACCAAGAAAGTTAATAATATTTACCTGAACTTTAGTAGTTATACAAAATACCTGCTTGATGGTTTTATTAACTATTTTCGCTCGAGATTCTCTAGATAATGTATGATTTTTTTTATTATAACGCAAGCCTGGTGTAATACTTGTTTAGTCACGCAGGCTTACGATCGCGAATGTTAATATATTTTTATTGTAATTTTTTTTGTAACCTCTACCCCAAAAATGTTTCAACTAAATAAACTAAACTAATTATTATACTTGTATAAATTAAAATTAAACACAAAGATGATAAAGGACTTTTATTGACTGAATATTTGTTTATGGGGAAAAATTTTCCCCAATTATTATTATTACATTAATGTGTTACAGTCAAAGTCACTACAATATCGGTAAGTACAGTGATATATAAATTCAGAAATGTCAGTTTTTGTTTTTTAGTTTGAAGTTGAACATAATAAAAGGAAAAGTTTATTTGCCTTGTTCACAAAGAACATTTAAAAATGTTTTTATTTTTCGTTTTAAGTTTTCAGTTACCGTGACACATAGTGATTTGGGAAATTGCATTTATTTGTAGGAAGAATGACTTCATATATAACAACAAATATAGATTATTTGCCTAACTGTATATAAATTTTCTCTGTCCTTTCCAAAATTATAACTTGTCACAATTCACCAATTGCATTTCCGGAACGACACAATTATGGTTCTGTCGTTCCAGTCTGAAGGTGGGGAACAAGGCTTAGAACAAACTTCACGGTGTTAAAAACGTACAGTCTGTAAACTGGTATACCGGAAACTTGTTTTTCTCTAAAGTAGAGGTAAATATAATGTCCGGTTTATTGGAAATTGTATGAATGATCCCGATGTTACGGGTTTCTGGTCGTGTATATTTTAATAATATGAATGTACAAAGTGATTATAAAGAAAAACTCATATAAAATAAATATGTCTTAAAAGTGCTTATCGTAGGAGAGCAAAATTATATATTGAGAATCTTAACCCATATTCAGATGGGATATGATATAAGGTGTTTCCAAACCGTATACTGCATAATTTAATCGCTGTTTTTCACAAACTAGCACATTGTTTCTTTCTCTCTAACATAACGAAATTGCTGATTTGAAAATCAGCATATGAAGACTACACTTCGACGAAAGTAATGAATGTATAGTCTGTACTGAAGTGTTCACTGATCTTCGCAGTATCCTGTAAACTAGTACGGGTGTCAGAGAGTGACAAAAAGCATTATTGAACACTTTCTGTGGCAGTTTTTGAAACTAATGTTGTTGTTGTTCTTTTGCTTTTTTATGAGTAGGTTGAGGAACTTTGCCTTCTTATAGTAATATATGTGTCATATCATATGCTTTTATACGCGCGCGTGAGCGCACACACACACACACACACAAATCATCCTTTTTTTAAGCAAGGTTTGGAGTTGTTTAACAGCTGGCCTTGTATAGGTCGTCCCCGAAACAGTTGTGAAAGTTTGGTTTCGTCAGTCAAGGACCTGTAGAAACCTGCAACTGATAACTGGACAGACTTTTATACAGTGGTTGGATGTGACTAATGAAACGGTTGTTCCATGAAGGGTAGTTTATCAAGTGACTTAATAAAGGCTTTGTTTTATTAAGTGGAAGTGACAATAAATAGGCGTTTTAAAACAGAAAAGTCTTGTTTCTACTACACATGCGCAAGAAGCTGTCGAATCGTATTTCATTCTATTAGCACCTCGCAGTTTTGATATAAATAAACGTATTGGACTAACTAACTCTCTTTATAAACCATGATGATTTGGGCAATAAAAGTATTTGAGAATGCTGACACTGTTAATATTTTTGCACTTACATTGTGTGTGTGTGTTGAAATTAGGATCTCTTTTATTTATCGAAAATATTCATATCGTCTGACGCCCAGAGGACAGTAAGTTTTTACCGTTATACTTCGCCCGCGGTCAAGTAATTATTATTATTATTATCATTATTGTAGTGTTCGTTATATTATTAGAATAACACCTTTTAAAAATCTGTGGAGCAACTTAAGTTCTTGAACAACTGATCTGCAAAATTTGAGCATACATATACATGAATATTTAAAAACAGTACCCAAAAACCCTAAACGAAAACTATACACACAAATATAAATATCCTTTTAATTAACAAACTGTAAGTCACACATACAATAACAAACTTTATAAATTAATTCGTTTTTTATTATTATGTTGCTTTTGTCTACAGGAGGTATCCAGTAAGATTTGAATGTCAGCTCTAGGAAGAATATATAACAAACTTCAAGTTTTTAAACTCTTCTTTGTAAACATTATTTTTGTTTTATGGCAGTATTAACGTAAATCATGGAGTTTTTATCAGTTTGTACAATTTGTGCTATAAAATCTTAATGATTAAACGTTAAAAACACCATAAAATACATGGACGAATACATATGAAAAATATAGATTCAAACGTGACATGCGCCATTGCATTTGAAATGCATAATCCTAAAATTCATATCTTTTTGTGTGTGTGAGGGGGGGAGGGGGAGTGAGCAAGTAGTGTTTTAAGGATGACAAATATACTTTCCCAACATTTCGTCCCTTGGACATGTGTTTAACCATCTGCATTTATATAATCAAACTAAATTCACTTGTCTTATGACAAGTATAATTAATTACAATAATGCTTCACCAGCTAAGAAAAGACGTTCACACCATAATAATGGTTGTTCTAACAAATGGCTTATATAGTTTCAGACCACAATGTTTTTGTTGTATTCCTAGTGGCCAGATGACCTCTGTATGGAGCGAAACGCGTCGTCGGCAACGAATATGGCGGACGTAGTATGGTTGAAATACTATTATACATTCTTCTTGAATACCTTAAGGGACTGAAGAAAGAATGTGATGTTAAAAATATAACGGGTCTAATACCATAAAATGTCTTATGATTAGAATAATTAATTATAATAAGGCTTCACCAGCTTAGAAAAAAGCTTCACACCGTAAAAATTATATTTTATTTTTAGACGATGAAACAAAACTAAGGTTAGCTATAAATATACATTCATTTAATTTCGTTTATATAATTGTTTTCCCATGTTATCACCCCTGTGTCAGTAGAGTTTACTGGACCGATAAAACAGCAAACAAGACGGAATTTCTGAGCGTGTGATGTACGAGTTATCCTATGTATTATAACGTGTTACGTTATTATCACTGCGGATTGAGTATTGATTTATTTGTAAGGACGTTTGATTGCGTTTTTTTTTCTTGTAACGATCCGCGTTGAACTAAAGCTTAAGAGTGCGACAGTGAAAAACGTTCTATATGTATTTATCAGTATTATATAAAACTGATTTTGAGTAGGAAATATGAATTAAAATAATCAGTGTCTCACAAGATTAATTTGTAAAATTACGAAGTTTTATTGTTATACCACTGGTAAATATATATATACACACACACACACAGGGGTGAAATCCTCCTGGTACACACCGATACTGAGTACCGGAACTTATGTTTTAATGTGGTACTAGTACCAGGACTTATTTGAGTTGCTTTGTCGTTTTTTATGTTTACACGTAAT